CTTGTATAACTTACTTTTTCTTGTAAATGTTTCATGATGTTTATTGTATGTATGTATCCACGGGGTGCTGGTAGGGATGTCCCCACCCCTGATGAATTGTGGCCTTAGATAGGGATAATGGATAACTGTATAGCCGCTCAGAGACCCCTTCGGAGATTAGAGCGGGATAGTAAGACGAAAGTAATAAATAAATAAATAAACTTATTTTAACAAAAAAAAGTGAATACATCCACCACCAGTAAATGGGGTAAAGTTTACATAAAAACAAGCAATGATAACTATGCACATTTAATTTTCTATCATAGAACAAAATGTTATGATACAAAAGGATAAGCTTTGTACTTATACTGACAAATGCTGAGACACTACAATAAAATCACTGATAAAACTGTAGGCATCAGAATGAAACTTCTAAGTGCCAGGGCAACCTGGCACCTGGGATTTGTTGAGCCCTGTGCTAGAGACCCATCTGAACAATTTTTCCTTAAGAATCACCTGCCAACTTTTCTCCTAGTCCAGGCTTCATCACAACTGTAATTTCCTCCAACAATGATTGCAGGCAATCACACCACAATTGTCCCAAAATGTCACCTGTACTATTCTGTAGCAGCACAGTAAAACAATAAGCATCCTTGTTATAAATAAAACGGTTTAAAAAAAGAATAAAGGATACATTCCCGGAGATAGAAAGGATTGGGTTTTTGTGTTCCATCTATGTGCCCAAGAGCTCTTCAAATAACCCTACAAAAAATTCTACAAAACAAGGCAACTGTGTCTATAAATCTTCTTTCTCAATAGTTTGTCACACTCTAGCATGGCAAACAGGACCAAAGGACATGACTTAGTTATCAATGGTTCCTACTTTGTTGTTGTTTTTAAAATAAACTGGTTGAGGTCTAGGATACAGCAGAGAGCAAACCTGCTTACCCGATACCAAATGTCGCTTCTGCAGTCACACCCCCGTCTATGAATATGGTAGTTGTGCGTCTAAGCAGGAATTCTTAGGCCCCATTCACACGGAGCATTTGCCGCGCTAAAGATACGGATGATAGGCGGATTTTCCGGGCGCGATCACACCGCAACATCTGGGAAGTGTAGTGCACCCGTGGCTAACCCGTGGCTTCGTGCTGAAGATACGGAGTAAAAAACTAGTACTTACAATGTACTAGTTTCCGGAAAACGCGAGGCAAGGGCGGGAGTTTGATCGTGTCCCGTCCTAGTCCCGTCGCAAACCAGTTAGTGTTTTTTTTAAGTCTCCACAGGATGCGCACAAACGATCATGCGCATGCTCACCTTTTGGTGAGGAAAAAATATTCCCGTTTGCCACGGAAGCGGCGCCTAGTGATTGCTGGTGTGATCGCGCCGCGCCACTTCTTTGCTGCGCTGCAGGATAGCCGTGTGTTCGGCACCTCACGGCCTAACCACGGACCTCGACGGGATGGGACGTGTGATTGGGCAGCCGTGCGTTATTTTGCTCCTGGGCAAACAGCCACACTCCCCCCCCCCCGCACTTTCCGGCCCGTGTGACCGAGGCCTCAAGCCGCCCTGTCTGAACATCATTCCCCCAACACTCTACAGGTTTGCTGTAATCACTGATAATGTATTATATGCAGGGCTATTTTTGGGCAGGAACGCACAGGAACGGAGTTCCGGCTGGCTTCAGAGTTGCCCACGCCCACTACAGCCAAAACCTGTGCAGAGGGAAGGCCTGTAGAGCAGACCCCCCCTCTGAGGTGGGGTGGGCCAGGGGGGGCCCTGGAAGGATTGGGAGGCATTTAAATGCCTCCCCTTGCCTCCCCTGGCCTGTCCAAGGTCCAGCTTGCCTCGGCGCCCCCGCAGCCATGGGGCACCCAGGTAAGCCAAGGGCAGGCAGTTTAAACTGCCTTCCCTTCCCTTGGTGGGGGGCCCCCTTGCCCGGGCTGTGGGGCCCGGGCAAGCCAAGGGCAGACATGGGGGTGTGGCCTAATATGCGAATGAGTTTCTGCTGTTGGGTGTGGCCTATTATGCTAATGAGTTCCTGCTGGGCTTTTCCTACAAAACAAAGCCCTAAATATGTCAAGCTCTCAGAATACTCTGGAAAACGCTATGATGACTATTGAGGTGTTGTAAAAATTGCAACCCCGGGGCTGCCGAAGGGGAGAGGCCCTTTTCACCATTTCACTGCTGCACCTTGTGTGACTCCCCCCTCCAAAGCTCAGGCCCCAGGACCCACAGGCCCGGCACAGAAATTAAAGGCCATCCAGGGAGGCAAGTGTCTTTTGCTTCCCACAAGTGCAGTCGACTAAAGGAACATTTGGGGGTGTCGGCCGGCCCCACCGCTGCCACACTCCACGAGAAGCGAAGGGCGAGATTCTCCTCTCCCCTAAGGAACTACTGTGAACACGCCTACTAGCAACAGCCCCCCTCCCTGCCTACCAATGTTCCCTCTAAGCTGTGGAGTCTTGTGAGCAAAATTCTACTTGGTGAGCTACTGGCATTAAAGTTGTGAGCGAGCGATTCGGCTACTGTATCAATGAGTTTGCTCTGGAGCCATCCTTACTGAGCTAAGACAAAAATGTGTGAGCCAGAGGCTAAAAAACTGTGAGCTAGCTCACACTAACTCAGCTTAGAGGGAACACTGCTGCCTACCCACCAGTCCCACAAGACCAGTCCCCATGCCCTCCCTAGTTTCAGCCTCCAAGAAGGTGGGTCACTCAGTGTGGAATTGCTGACTGGCAG